ATCAGCATCAGGAACATCTGTATGCCCAAGGGAATTTCTGTATGTAACTGAAGGACAGAGAATGGGAGATTCAGATCACTGTACAGGATGTGTGTCTTGGCTTGGCAGTGGAACAGTGGACCGTGTTTTCACATAAAGTATGTTATTTTCCTGTGAATTAGAAACAGATGTAATTTCTTTGAGTAAAAATGCTTGGGGGGTTCTTCTGCAACATGTTTGTCTTTTTCTGTCAGGATGCCAGCTGGCACAACCCAGCAGAGAAAATCTTTAGTTACATTCGTACCATTTTCCATTGTACCCTTCCAAACAATCTCCCAGCACAATGTGCTGCCATCAAGGTAAAACACTATGTCCCTTCTCCCTGGATCTCCAGGTGGGTGCCCGACAGCAACAGGAAGGTTCAGCTCTCCATGGCTGCATTGATTCTTGCCTGGATGCAACAAGGAAACTTGACATCCAGGTGTTGGGGGAGTTGACCCATCCATCCCCAAGGATGCTTTATTCCTGCCCTTCTTTAATGGCATTGAAATGGAAAATGTGGCACCCTGTATGTCCTAGGGAGATATTCCTGGGGAGCTCACAGGCTCTTTTTGGAACTCCCAGCTCTGTTTTTCCTCCTGCTTTCCCTTGGTTATACAAGCTTTTATTTTTGATACGGCCCATATAAGGCAAGTCCATCTACAGACAGCTTTTCCTTACATTCCCCCTTGCCAAGATGATGTCACCTTAAAAACGAGACTTGCAGAAGGTTAAGCTGTGATTAGGCAGATCGTGTCCCCCCAGCTGTGATCTTTGGCGGAGCGAACACCGTGAGGATGGAAAGGGGAAGATAAGGGTGCTGTGCTGGTGCCAGTGGTGCTGAATGCTGGTGGAGCAAAGCACACTGGCAGCATTGTGCCACCTCACTGTGCAAAGGCTGAGCAGCTTCTCGCCCTCCTTAGTGGTTTGCTTGGTCCTGGATCTTGGATCGTTTCTTGCAGAGGTAAGAAATGTATCTTTTTTCCTTCCTTTGCACCTAAAATTATCTTGTGTTACTTTCTGGATCACAGTCTGGACTGATGGATGCAACAAATAGCTCTTGGGAGCATCTATGCCATACTCAACTGCCTGCCGAGACTCACACTTTCCCTCAAGTGCTACACTTAAAATCTTAAAACCTTTTGCATTTGTTGACAAATATCTTTGTAAACCCCTGAACTGTGGAGCAGCATGTGGAAGTGGGGAGGAGGTTGTCGGTGACAGAGCTGGAAGGAATGGGTGAGCCTGCCAAGTTCTGTGGTCTAAGGTTGGCCACAGGAGCCCAACATAAATATTTTAGTAACAGAATTATTTTAACTTCATTTTAATGGATGTTTAAGCTGTTTGTTCAGCTTAAAATTGTTTTAAAGCAACATGTTTCCATGTGCTGCTCCCAGGAGAAGACAACGTGAAATGTTAATTCACAGAATTCTGTGAAATGTTAATTGGCTTTGTCTGGGAAGGGGAAAATTATTTGATAAGTTGCTGTAACATTCCACCTGGGGACTGCAATGCTGCTCAGCTCCCAGTGCCCACAGTGCAGGGGACAGGGACAGGTCTGTTGGTGTCCCCTGTGCCCGTGCCAGGCCTGCAGCTCCACCAGCAGCAGTCCCCTCATGGGTGACATTGGGATGGTGGCCTGGCCCAGTGGCAGAAAGCAAATGGGGACAAGGCACATCCAGTGGTTTTCCATCTGGCTGTGGGTGCAGGCTGGGGTTTTCTGGTTTGTTTTGGTTTGCAGTTGCGTTGAGTGGTTTATTCTCAAATGCGGGAACTGTTTTGAAAATGCTGAGAACTTGGCGGGATCAGCAGTGGAGTTATTTGAGGCATCCCAGCTGGTATCCCTTCCGTTCCCTCCCAGCCTGGACAGCACAGGCAGCCCAAAGCCTGCCCCATGGATGGGAAACCAGCTGAGCTGGGGTCTGGGTTTGCTGCTGCCCTGGTCCGTGGTCACAAAGGGGAGCTCTGTGCTACCCAGCTGTCCCCAGAGCTGGTGTTGAGGGCTGTGAGCCCTCAGCACCCGGTGGTGGGATCTGATGGGAAGCTGTGGAGCTCTGCAAGCCTGGTATCACCATGTAATGGTTCCCTAGCCCTCATTCCCTTTTGGCACTCTGTACTTCCAAGCTTTGCCATGTCCTCAAAAGACCCTGACTTGGCTCAAGCAAGTCTCTGGTGAGAGCCAGCACTTGCCACCCCATTGGGTCTGTGCTGGGGCCTGAGGGGGGTGATTGATGGTTCCCAGAAAACCCTTGGCACATTAAGCACCTGATGCCCAGGAGCTGCTTTCCTTCACTCCCGATCTCCCCTCCTCCCACCAGGACCCCGCTGCAGCCACAGAGAATTCCCAGGGGAGTGTGGGGCTCTGTGGGAACTGCACTCCCACGTAAGGCTCTGAAACTGAGCCACAGCTGAAAAAGCATTCAGGGGCAAAAGAGAGTCCTGACACAGATCCCTGTTAGGAGGTATTTTCCTTCAGAAGCACGGGAGGAAAAACCCCAAACTCAAGAGTAAATGAAAAACACAGTAATGAGAAGCTTTTCTATAGCTTTCCGTTTAATTCCAGCATGTAATGAATGATTTCCCATCAAGGCAGAGAGGAGGTGGAATGCTGCACACCCTCAGAGTGCAGTCAGAATAAATAAATCCCATGTTTGCATCTCTATGGAATCTGTCCTCTGCAGAAGCCACAATGTCCTGCACACAGCTGGCTCGTGAGCTCATGGCTGACAGGGCTTTGTGCCCGTGCAGGGCAGGAAGAGGGGACAGCAGCTGCCCTTTCCCTCTGGCAGGGTTTAATGTCACCTCCAAGGTCCAACATGATGCATCCCTGGGCCTGAGCACAGCTCTGTGGAGGAGGAGAGGAGCCCAGGGGAGCAGTGAGTGCAGAGCTGAGGCCACGTGCAAGGAGAGCATCCTGACGTGGGACAGGGGAGCAGCTACGTCGCGATGTCGTGGTCACGTCTTGGCAGCCGCAGGAGGAAGGTCTGCAGGGAACCGCTGCGTGGGAAACCTGCCCGCTCCTTCTTCTGCTTCCAGGTCTCCTCTTCCACGGAGTAGAGGAGAGTCAGCATCTTGTTGACAGTGTAGATGGTGTCACCCCTGACAATGGCAGTGAAGAGAGCTCCCTTGCTGTTCATGAACTGCCCGGGCAGGGCGCTCCACTGCCGGGACGTCAGGTTGAAGCAGTCGATGACACAGCGCAAGAAGTCGTCGTAGGGGCCGTTGCGCATGACGTAGAGGTTGTCACGATGGGCCACCATGCAGTGCCCGTAGCTCTGGTGCCGCTTGAGCTCGGTGACGGGAAGCCACACGTCTTGCTGGGTCTCGTACTCGTAGATGACAGTGGTGTCCAGTGGCTGCCACAAGCAAACAAAGATCTGCCCCAAGGCTTGGGCACAGGGCGCTGCCGTGCTCGGTTGCGGCAGGTCAGAGACGAAGGTCCAGGTGCTGGAGGCCAGGTCGTACCTCTCCACGGACTTGAGCGAGATCTTCTCGTACTCACCACCAATGGCGTAGAGATAGCCCTCGTGGCCCACCAGCCTGACGTCGTAGCGCAGCTGGTGAGGGCTGGGGAACTCGCTCCAGGTGTTGGCATCAGCATCGTAGCAGAAGCTGCTCTCCACCACCTGCTTGTTGGCCCCGTAGACGCCGCCCACGATGTAGATCTTGTTATCCATGGTTGCCATGCCGGCTAGGAATGTGCTGGCGCTCAGCGGAAGGCAGGAGAGGGTCCTCCATGTGTTGGTCTCCTCGTCCAGGTAGCAGATGGTCCTGGAGAGGTCCTCCAAGAACTCGAAGGTGGGTGTGTGGGCTCCCACTGCCACAAAGGTGCTGGGGAGGAGGGCTTCCACATAGGCCAGCAGGTCATCGGAGAGGCAGTCCAGGTACTCCTCCAGCTCAGCGTAGCTGTCCCTGATGTAGAGTGCGGCACAGTGGAAGAGATCCAGGAGGCCGAATATGGCAGCGGCTTGGTACAGCAGGATGCAGTTGTCAGAGTTGATGGAGTGGATCAAGTACTTGGCCAAGGGCTTCACCTGCAGGAAGGCAGCACATTCCACTGCCTGGAAGGTCTCCTCGCTGCCAAGGATGGGCCTCTCGCCCGCCAGCACCCGCAGCATGGCGAGGAACCCGGCTGCACTCAGCTCCCCCAGGCCGATCTCCTCCTGCGTGCTCTCCCTCATGCCCGAGCGGAAGAGGGCACGGAAGTACTCACTGCTCTCCACCAGCAAGGCCTTCTCCACCGAGAATGACTGCTCCTCCACGCGGATACGCACCCGCTCCGGGGGCCCTGCCTGGGAACCTTCCTCCTCCGGGGTCATCCTCGCCTGGGACCTCAGCAGCTCTCAGGGGTGGGGGAGCACCCGATGCCCCTCTATGCCGTGCCCCTGCACAGCCCCCTCGGCCTTCTCCAGCCTTTGATGCCTTTGCTGAGCTGCCCGGTGGCCTTGTAATATAAATACCTTGGGCTAAAGATAGCTGAGCTCGTGACCAGGGCCCTTCAAAGGCATCCACCAGGCTCAGCTGCCCCCCCAAGCTCAGGCAGGGTTCCAGTGTCACCAGCCAGCACTGGGCACAGCAGAGGTGCCTGGATATCCCATGGAATACTCCCAGCCACTCAGGAGAAACCAGGTTTTGCTTTCTCCACTCTCAAGCATCCTTCTTATAATGCCCTACGGAACAGTCCCCAGCCTGGGGAGGGCAACACACTTGCATGGCTGGGAAGAACATCTGGCCACACTATTTTTTTTTTTTCTCTTTAAAATATGGAGTTTACAGCCCAGGGAGGTAAACAACATCAGCAAATCTCATTGCCACCCCGCTCAGCCATGGGAAGGGATCTTGGCTGTTCCTCAAGTGTTACCATGGGCAGACAGAGACCTTCTTTTGTGACCCTCTCTATAGCAGCAGCATCTGCAACACCCATCCCAGCTGCAAGGAGCCATAAGCCAGCCTGTGCTTCACCTGGGGATCTCAAGGTGAGAAAAAGGAAGTGCAGCAACCTCTTCTCACCACAAACCTCCCCTCTGGCCTCAGGGCTTGCCCAGCTCCCCATAATACCTGGCTGTGGGAAGAGATAAACCCCTGTTTACTGACACAGAGCTTGACAGTGAGGAAAAGTGTTATTTGTGGCACATCACTTGTTAGTGTGCTAATCACAGATTTTTCTGGCTAGAAATCCCATTTCAGCTCCGCCATGGGGTGCCAAGGAAGGCTGACAACAAGGCTCACTTGGGGGCTCCTTCCTGGATCTCCCCATCACTACCTGTGATTAGTTTGCAGCTGGTGTTTTGTTTTGATGAATAATTTAACCTGAGCAGCTCATCCTGTTGAAGGTCTATTTTCTGCTCCCTCCTTAACCCCTTCATCCCAGCAGCTAGGAACTTTCCAGGCAGTGCATGATGGCAAAGCTCTTGCCTCAGGATCATGGCCACAGCGGGTTCCCCCAAAAATCCAAGTTTAGGGAAGAATGGAAGAATTTTGCACTTACACCACTGCCATTGATCCTCATGGATACCCAGCTTAAAATACCATGTTTAGTTCCAATTGTTTTTAAGTGTCCTAGACCTGTGACCAAAGGGGGTCTGGGGTAAAGGGTCCTCAGAGGGGCTCTGCTTCCCGCAGGGGAGTTATCCCTGTGATCCCCATCCTCCCCATCCCTGGGGCTTGCAGGGGCTTCCACACTCCCAGACTATTTTGGGAGGGCTTAAAAATACCCTGCCTGTATTAACGGGCAATATTCCCAAGGGCGCAGCAGCCCCGCATGGCCGCGGAGCAGCCTCGGCCCCCCAGCCTCGCCTGCGGCCCCCCCGCAGTCCCTCGGGGCCGGCCCTGGGGCCGCATCCTGTGGTCCCGGGCATCGAGCCCTATCCCAAATGGCTGTGATCGCCATGACAACGCTGACTTCAGCCCCCGCCACCTACTCGGGCTCAGAGCCGCTGGGTGCCGGCTGATGGATTGGTACGGGCGCTGGTGAGTACTCCCCGGGCTCCCTCTTCCTCTTGGCACCGAGGCTTTTGGGTGGCAGAAGGGAATTTCTCTCCCTGGAAAGCCTCTGCCGGCAGCAGAAGGTGTCAGTGCTTGGTTGTGTCCGAAGGAGCCGGGCAGTGGCTGCACAGGCAGCTCCGGGTCTGCTCCTGCCTGCCGGAGCTGGGATGAGTGCGCCGGCCTCAGCCGGGACAGAGGGACCAGGCTTGGGCTTGCCGGGACACGGCGAGGAGCTGCGCGCTCAGGAAGGTGCCGGGACACGGCCAGGTGGCCGCCAAGCCGAGGCACGGCAGGTCTGGGACCGGGGGTCCCTGCCCGAAGCCGGGACAGCTCGGGGTGCCGCGTGTGCTCTGCCGCGGGGACCGTCCTCGGGTGGCCGGGGCAGCGTGTCCGGCCCCGCGGCGTGGCAGCTTTCCTTACAAGGAGTTTGGCTGGAGCCCGAGCAGCGGGAGCCGCGCTCGCCTCCGCCTGCCTCATTCATCGCAGCCCCGGCCGTGCAGGGGCCGCTGCTGCCCCGGCCCCGCGCTCACGGAGAGCCCCGAGTCCCCTCCGGCCCTGGGTTTTAAGGTGGGAGGCTGCGTTTCTCTTCTCTTTCTGGGGTGTGAGGGGTGGGCAGAGGGCTGGGGGTCCTTCTCTTTCGGTGGGGTGCTGGCCGCCACTGTGGGATGAGGATGCCTCGGGATGCGGATGGAGGAGAGGGGATCTCCCACCCTGGTGCTGCTGAGCTCCTCTCTCCCCCAGGCTGGGGCACCCACGAGGCAGGCAGTGAGAAGGTGCCCATCCGACGGGGCAGCGGGTGCTCCATGTCCCCCCGCTCTGTCCCGCAGGAACGAGGATGTCCTCGATGTTCGGCAAACCCCGAGCCAGCAGCGAGCGGCCGCCCCAGAGCGCCCTCCCCGAGTGCAACGTGGCCATCCTGGGGTGCAGAGGGGCCGGCAAGTCAGGTGAGATGGGCAGGGCAGGGCATCGGGGAGCTGCCGCCAGGGGACACCTGCCTCACCTGCCTCTTTCACCTCCTGCAGCTCTGACCGTGAAGTTTCTAACCAAGAGGTTCATCAGTGAATATGATCCCAACTTGGGTAAGGCACGTTCTTATCCCATGGAGCATCCTTCCCATCTCCCACGTTTCCCATGAACTTAAGGGGAAAGAAGAAAACAACCCACCCAAAATTATACAAAAAACAACAAGGGCTGGATTTAACCCAAAACCATCTGTGAAAACAGAGGTGAAAGCAGTGCCCTCTCTGGGGGGACTTCCCATGGGAATGTTGGCTCCTCGCATTGCCCCCAAAAAACCAAAAGCTGAATTCTTGAGGCTCTTTGAGGAGCATCTTATGTCTGTTGGGCAGGGAAAAGGCTGAGGAAACGAGGACGGGTGCACAGCAGGCAACCCTGGGACTGAGTTTTGCAGTGAGCAGTTCTGGGTATTTTTTTTTCCACTCATTTGAGTAATTAATAACTATTTTCCTAGGCCTGACTCCAGGCTGTGGGGAAGAACCATAAGTGATTTATCGGGGACATTAAGGAGATATGGACATTGTCCAAGAACCAACTCCAGCCGCTAATAATTCAGTGACTCTTAGAAAGAAGGATAAATCCTTTCTTCCTCAGATATTTTTGGGAATGTGGTTTTATCTTCCCACGTCAAAACCTTTCCGAAACGCATCGGTTAAAAGCTGGCCCAAAGAAAGCATCTTTCTCCTGGGGGAATGGCTCAACGGCTCTCCCTGCCTGCCCTCCTTCCAAAAGAAAGGATTGCTCCTCTCGCTTGATTTATTGGGAAACAGTCCCATGTCAAGCCCCCAGCTCGCTGTATCTCATCAGGCCATGGCTTTTAGATAAGGGCTGAGCCCTGGGTGCAGCAATTGTTGTGCCAAGCTCCTTCCCCTCCCTCCTCCTCCTGTGGGAGCCCATGTTTGCAGCACAGGGAGAAATAACTGCTCCTAGCCAGGCTTGCCCAGCAACCAGTCCCCCAAAATAATGTTGTCTCAGGAAGGAGTAAGGTGGGAGGACTTGGTGGAGGATGCTCCTCATCAGGGCTGAAATTTTTCCATGGTATCCCAAGCATCCTGGGCTTTGCTTGGCTTTGAAGAAGACAGGATGTGCCAGCCCATCCTTACAACCACCCTTCTTCTTGCAGAGGACACCTACTCCTCGGAGGAGCTGGTGGACCAGCAGCCTGTGCTCTTGAAGGTGATGGACACTGCTGACCAGGTAAGGCACGGGGGGTGTGCTGACCAGCTGGACCATGGCTGGACCACGACTGGACTGGGGCTCAGCCACTCCTCCCACGCCAGGATGGCCCCGGGAACTGCGAGCGCTACCTGTGCTGGGCCAGCGCCTTCCTGGTTGTCTACAGCATCGACAGCAGGAAGAGCTTCGAGGGCTGCCAGCGCTACCTCGAGGTGCTCGCCCTGCACGCGCGGGGCTGCCAGCGCCGCTGCCCCGTGCTCCTGCTGGGAAACAAGCTGGACATGGAGCAGTACAGGTACCGGGCACGCGGTAAGGCTGCCTGCTCCCCGCGGGAGAGAGCTCACACATCCCTCCTGATGGGATGCACAACCCAAATCTGATTTCTTCACGGGTATTTCCACCCCCATTGGTATTTGAACATCCTCCCACATCCCTGAATTTCCTGCCCCAGGGCTGATGTGTTTATTTTGAGCCCGTTGGTATTTTCAGTAGGATGTTTTTTGGCTGAGTGGCGAGGCAGCGTCACCATCCCTGGCAGGGCTTGAGCCAGAGAAGCCCCTCTGGACATGCCCTTCCTTTCCCTGGAGCCCTGTAGTTCCAGCCCCACTGCCAGGACTGGATGTGCCCAATATGTTTTTCTGGCCTTTTGTGCTGCTCTGTGGTCCCACAGGCCCCTGAGTCACATGCACTGCTGGAGCCCTCATGCTCCCAGGATGGAGGTATCGCCCTCCCCACAGCGAGGACCTGCCCCATCTCCTCCTCCCTGCTTCCCAGTGCACTGTCATCACACCCACCCCTGGATTGCTGGAACACATCCCTACCAGGAGAAGCTGTGTGATTCCCCAGGGACACAAAGAGACCATTACTCTGGGATTTTGGGAAAAGCAGAACTCTTTTGGATTCATGTCCCAGGGCAGAGATGGGCAGGTGCTACCTTGGTGCTCTCTGGGAAGGAGGTGTGGGATGCATGATCTGTTACCTGCACCTTTTTTGGGTGGCTGCCGTGCCCCAAGGGATCCTGCACCCATCCCCTCTGCTCTCGCCAGGCAGGTGCTCTCAGCAGAAGGGATGTCCCTCGCCAGCAGGTTCGGGTGCCTCTTCCATGAGGTGTCGGCATGCCAGGACTTCGCTCGGGTGCAGCACGTGTTCCACGAGGCCGTGCGGGAGGTGCGGCGCCAGGCGGAGTGGAGCCTCCCCGTGCGGCCGCTCTTCATCTCCGAGGAGCGGCCCTGCCCGCCCGTGGCCACGCCCGTGGCCCTGCCCACCCACCACAGCTTGGCCACCTGCACCTTCAACACCCTCGCCCCCGTCAACTACAAGGAGATGCCCTCGGTGGCCCAGGCCAAGCTGGTCACCGTCAAGTCCTCGCGGGCTCAGAGCAAAAGGAAGGCTCCCACGCTCACCTTGCTGAAAGGCTTCAAGATATTTTAGGACACGTCCCTGTGGGCAGCAGAGAGGGAGGAGAGAGACCTCATCCATCCCCCCAGCTCCACGGGAGCTGGGACCTTCCATGATGGACTCACGGGCACTGCAGCAGCCGCTGGCACACGGCAGCCCTGGTCTCCGTGCCAGGGCAAAGCCAGCAGTGGCAACTTGGCGAGCAGGCAAAGTGCCAGGGTCTGACATGGGCTGTGGCATCGCTGTGCCTGCCCCTGCCCGGTGTTTGCACCCTGTCCTGCCACTGCCACTGCGGCCAGCCCAGTTTTCTGCAAGGACGCAGCAGCTTCCAGAGGAGCCAGAGCTGTTGGATACCATTGGGAGGGGAAGGGACAACTCCACGGCCACCAGCCAGCTTGGGCACCTGGCCCACAACTACAAGAGCCCAGGAATGAGGAACTAATCATTAATCCAGCATGGAGGCACCCATCTCGTTCATCCCACAGGTCCCGACTAAGCAATAAGTAGGAGGAAATTTTATTTTTATTAAATCCAGATAAAAAAGGTGCAGATAATGTTTCAGCTGCTTAAAGGCCTCAGGTGGCCTGTAACCCATATCCACACATCAAGCTAAGTCACACCATAATTGCTGCTTTTTTGCTCAGCTTTTTACACTATAGCATCCCTTTCCAAAGGCCTTGCAAAGAGATGCTTTGCTGACAAGGACATGGTCTGCAAAGTCTGTGTTTAGAAGACTGATGTTTTTCCAATAATGTCCTAAATTATTTCATGGTTTCTGCACATGCCCAGTGAAGGACACAAAGGGAATCCTGAAGCAGACCAGGCTCTGCCTGTGCCTGAGCCAGGGTCAAGGGCTGGATGTTTGGTTTCAGGTGCTCTATCAGATTAAATGTTCTGCTTCTCCCTGGAGTTGCAGTTACTTTGCAGAGTAAAATATTCATGTGTATATTTGTACATATAGCCATATAAATATATATATATATATGACCTTACTGACAGATTCAATATGGCATTTTGATCAACCACTTTGGAAAGTATTTTAATAAAGAGGATTCTGAAAAGAATAAAAATGTCTCAGCTTCAGTGTTGCTGTTTTCCTGATGGGAAGTGAAGCTGCTTTTCCTGGCTGACTGCAGGCCAAGCTTCCCACTTACTTCCCTGGCTCAGGTGAAACCTGTTTGCAGCACCTGAGGGAGGAGAGGAAGCTGGCACTGAAGGGAAGGCTGGAAGCAGCCAGAGCAGTGGGGGAACACCAGCCAGGCAGGAGATGAGCCCAGGGCCCCTCCTGCAGGTGCAACTCTGCTGCTTTCTTGTTTCACACTTTTCTTTCTCCAGGCTAAACTGCATTTTTAAACTGGCACCCCTGTGAATTGAGACATTCTGATACCTTTCTTAAGGCCTAAATGGGCTGACTCCAGCTGCCACTATATGGCCTGCTCAGACGTCTCTGTGTACAGGGATGTGACAGTCCCATCTTTCCACTGGACCACCACGTCCCCTGGTCTCTGGGGCCCTGGCTGCTGCTTTAGTGGCTCAGCCAGGTTGTATTCCTGCACAGGCATCAGGGCTTGCTTGGCATCGAGGTCAGCCTCCTGTGTGGGCTGTGCTGTTTCTCCGTTCACGAGGATTTTCCTTTTCCTGCAGGGAAGGCACAACAAGGACACACGAAGTGAAGCAGCAAGCCCAGCCCACATCTCTGAGGGCACCAACCCCGGTGAGGGTCACAGCCACCAATTTACACCGTGTTCCTGGAACACGCCAGCTGCGTGTGGGCAAACGCCGCCAGGTGAGCTGTGCCCGGTAAGTGCTCTGAAGTGTTTGAGCACACACGGCTGTGCGATTCACACTTGGAGAGCGCCCAGCTCCTGACGCCAGGAGCAGCACGCAGCCAGCCGTCACTAGAGGGAGAGCGAGGCAGGCTCGCAGCGTTAGCGCTTCTCTCGTCTGACTCAGTGCTACGTTTTCGTGCCCTAGCAAACAGTGACTTGCTCCTCAGCTGCGGGGTTGTGCAGCCACCGGGGAACTCTGTGGGGATGTGCATGGGGAAAGGCTGGGAGTCCTGCTCCAGAGCCCCTGTACTTAGGGGAGAGCACCTCAACCAGTTACCATCCTTTCCCTCCCAGCAGCCCTGTTGGGCTGGGCAGAGCTGTGCAGACCTCTATTCCATCCAGGGCTCAAGAAGGGGCTTGTCCCAAGTGACACAATGAGCAGGCATCAGGCAAGGTTTTATAACAAAAAATGGTTCAAAGGGAGTTTGCTCTTCTCCCCATCACCCCGTGGCTTTTTGCCTCGGAGGCTTTCAGGGCACCACCACACACCAAAAGATTCTCAAATTTTCCCGTCTCACCTGTTCCGCACAATGTTAATGGTCAGAAGAACGAGACCCAAAATCATGGTCGCGAGGGACAGCGCAAGAACAGAGTAATTCCATGTTGAGGCTGAGGGAAAGCAGAGAGGCACTGTTAGCAGGCACAGCACAATGTGACCCATAGAGCCTGGCAGGGGTTTTCTGAGGACATCCAAGATGCTCTGTCCTTGATTTTTGTGGCTTTGAAGTTGATCCTCATGACGCTGACCTGCTGCTATGTCAATCTGCTCCCTCCACCCTGCCAAAATCACAGGAGACCTTTGCTCTCTTGGCAGGCTCTGCCTGGAAAGAGGCTGAAACCCAGAGACACAATCTCAGCAAAGCCTCCTGCCTATCTTCACCTATGGCCTGCTTACTCCAGAGGCAAGACTGAGGTTTGTGTGTCTGGGGTAAATCACCTCCTCAGGGTAGTGGCATCTCTGTTAGGCAAGAAAGTTGACAGCCAAGGACTGTGTCTCAGCCCAGGAACACCAATGGGACTTACGGTCTTCTCTGCGGAAGAACCAGAGCAGCTCCTCCAGCTCTTCCAGTTCCAAGCCCAGTGGAAGGGTAATGTTGCCTGCTGTGTGCTCATCCATGTGTGTGCTGGCCAGGGTGGTTGGGAGGTACTTGTGCTCTGCCTCAGCTGTGGTGGAAAGACAAAGATGCAACAGTCACTCACTGCAGCCCTTCAGACTGGAGGTGACCTTCCCCTTCACTCCCAGGGTTGCCCAGCATGTCTCTCCAAGCAGTCAGAACGCAGCCCTTAGTGCACAGCCTGAACTCATGCACTGAGAAGTGGAGAGTGTTTCTGGCTGCAGACCCCATTAGGTGAGGCAGCAGGGCTGCAAAGACTTCAGAATGCTGATAGGGCCTTTCCACATCCCCCATCTCCCACCAAGGAGAGGCAGCTCCGTGTGCCACAATTCACCAAAGAGTTGCCTTGCCCAGACCAGTCCTGGAAATCTGACTCTGGACTGCAGTTCTCCAGCAAGAAATTCTTATTTATCAGGCTGGCTTGTATACACAGCTTGACTCTAGTAATTTTTATCAGAAAAGCTTCTTTCTGCAGAGAAACCCACATATAAGTGTGGCCAACCCCAAGAACAGAACATGCACACAGAATGCAGATGGGAATGACACCCAGTTCTGGAACAGGGGTGTGACTTTTTCCTTGGCTCAGTCAGGCTGCTGCTGGTGTACACTGAGGAAAATAGCCCCATCGAAAGAAAGGAAGAAACTGTATTTCCAGGAAGTTAAGGTCTTTGCACATGAGCACATGCACCTACTTTACCCACACCATTATCCTTTAAGCCAAGACTCTACCTTGTAGCAGGAAAAATGGGATTATCCAGAAGAACTTCATATTTGTGTATGCAGATGGGATGGATCACACCTTCACAGTATTTCTTCAGCGTGGAGATGCCTGCAAAAGACAGAGAGACTAAGGAGTTGACAGAGAACCTGCTTCCCCTCCCTACTCCAGCTCTATTCAGAGAGGGGATCTCATGTATCCCAGCATCTGTTTCCTCCTGAGAACGTGAGTCTGACCTGCCAGGACAGGGTGCAGAAACCCCTGGGCCACCAAGGTGACAGCAGAGGGGTCTGGCACTGCATCTGCTGCCCGAGGTGAACCTGTAGAGATGTGAGCTCAGCTGCTGTGAGCCAGCCCCTCCCCAGCTAACAAAGCTTCCCTGCTTGCTCCCCTGCCATAATCCCTAGAGAACATATACTTTGCATGTGACTACCTATTGCCAACCCATGGCCGCAGAATAAGGGTGTGGAGATGAGGAAGTGGAGGCTGAGCTCCAAGAGGAGGCAAGGCTGGCTTGCCATTGAGGCTACGGTGTCTCCCATCCCTCAAGGAAACAGAAAGTCCTCCTTGACCTTTAGTCCCTCATTTATTAGTGGCATCAATCCAACTTTTATGGCTGCTCCTTCAAATTAGTTCTTCAGTGTCCTTCGAAGGGCCCTGCCCTGAGCAGGGGCCCCTGGCTGCCCACTGTGAGCTGGTGACACGTTGAGGTGGCTGTCCCCAGCCCATGGCTCACTGGCCATCGCCCACTGGCAGGTCAGCCACACCACAACACACCTGCATCCCTCAGACATTCTGGCCCCACAGGCCATTAATTATTATATGAAGACTTTTATAACAGTCTGATACTCCCAGCTTTTACCTGCCTTTGCTGTGTGGCCTGGTGCTGTCTGAAACTTGCTTCCCAAGCATGTTCCACTGTGCCAGGCGTGTCAACAACGCTGCTGCTGACTCCTCAGGGAAACATTTGTCCCGTCGGTTATAGACCTAATGATTGCTACTATTTTCCCCCCCATTCTCAATGTCTTCACAATTCAAAGTTCACATTTTATAGCTAACCAGGCATGCAGGCTTACTCCCTGCTGCCAGAAAACCACCTGCTAGCAATTCTTAGAGGAGGGGACTCTCAAGTATGTGGTCCACTTTGTATTTCAGAAAATATGGGTAAAGCTGCTCCCTGCAGTTAGGTGTGCCAATTACCCTTCCGTCCAGGTAACCTTTAGCTTATTCACATGGATCACCCCTCACAAAGGAGGAAATAAGGCCTTGGTGCCAATGAAAATAAGTTACAAGTCAGCTACACCCTAATAAGAAGTGGCACTTGAATGTGTTAAATCTTGCTGTGCAAGGCTTCTGAGTAATCATTTGCTCAAAGAGGGATATTTGACAAGCATGTTGCTGATTTTCCCCTAAGGTGTTTCATAAGCTGTGGGCTACCTCCTGGTGTCTGTGCACAGCAGGGATGCTGGAAAGCTGCTGGAAGTACTTTGCTACTTCATCAAGTAGTGACCAGCAGCCAAATCTCCTCAGATATGGGAGGCCAGAACTTTGTGGGTAAAACACAGCAGCAGAATGGACCCTTATTGTGCATTAATAGGACATTTAAGTAAAATGTCCTTAAGGGAAACTTCTGTTATTTTAGAGATCTTTTACATCTAAATCACATTAACAAAATTAGTTTCATTCACCAAAGCTACAAAACGAAGTGTTCTCAGGTCAGTGTGTCTACTCCAGTAGAGAGTGAGCCTAAACCACCAGTTTCCCCAGTAAGAAAACAGTGACTCCCACAGCTGGGCTGGACATGCTCTGAGGAGCTTGGATCTTGCAGCCTGGAAGAGATTGTTCAAGGCATCTCCTGCAGCCTGCCCCGCACAGCTGCTCTGCCCTGCTGCCCACACCCCACCGTGGGCGAGCTGCTCCACGAGACCAGCTGGGACAGGTGGGGGATGCTCTTCCATTGCTCCCTGCTGCACATCCAGCACTGACTCTGGTGGCTGATGGACAGGGACGAGCCCTTAGATCCAGGCCTCTGCAACTCCAAGTGTGCTCTTTGTTCTCCTGTCCCTCTGAAGGCACCCAAGACCCTTCTGAGGTTGCTTCCCCCACTTTACAACAGGGGAAGCTCAAATGAGAGAGAGCTCATCCATTTTATGCTCCTATGGAAGGAGGCAGAAAGAACAAAGAGGCCAGTGCCTCTCAAGAAACATTTTAGCTGCGTTGAGTTTATATTGACTCCTGAATGTCTTTGTAATTTCTTTCTTACAAGTGGGATTTTAACATCAAAAGCTGCAAAATCTGTACAGTATTATGTATTTCAGGAACAAAGAGTCACACAACAATGCTATTTCAAATCCTCCTGTGGATCTGTGGACTTTGCTGGCATTCAATGAAATCTCAAGATATTACGGGAAAATGTCAAGGGACTGCTTTTTGCTCTATGCATTGATCCCAGCACTTAAATGGTAAAACCATTTCTCCTAATGGAAGCCCTTGAAGATCTGAGACATGTCACATGCAGAAGGCAGAGCTGAGGGATTGGTGCTCTGAAGGCTGGCAGAATGCAGCAAGGGGGCTGTGCCATGTGGGAACACAGGAACACACACCTTCACAGCTGCACGTGAACTCTTCCCAGCCAGGGCACAGCACGTGGTGCTGTGAATCCTCCCTGTGCTTGGTTTTTGTCAGCTCTGATATTCATGGCTGCTCACCAAAACACGTTTTGCCCTCATTCTGCAAATGAGAAGTCTTTAGATACGTATTATACTGGTTTAAGTAAAGATGGGGGAAATCTTTTGGAAAGACCATCAAGTACAGCTTCTGTTGAGACAATAATGTTCCTCTGGGCTCCATATTCAAAGCTCACTACACAGTATGGGACAATGCATTTAGAACATCTCAGTCTTTTTAAATTAGTCTCTTCTTGTCATCCAGACTCTCTCTCTGGTGGTTGTCCTATCTTAGCAGATTGTGTTAAAATGGGTCAGTTATTTCAAACACAGTGTTAAAGTGGGATGTCCTGTCTTTGGGATTCATAGAGGATGTATATACAATGTCACACCACAGACATACAAATGGATGGTAGGGTTTATAAAGGCACATTAAGGTCTGAGCTCCATTAAGGAAAACAAGGAATTATTTAATATTTAAAATATTAAGGCAAGAAGGCAGTCTGTGCTATTTTTTAACCTCTGTAAAGTAAAAAGCTAAAGAAAAAAAATCTAAGTTATATATATCTAAGTTATTTTTCTTTGACTGCTTTAATAATCAGGAGTTATCTCAGCCTGCTTCTTACTCGCCATTCAGTCTCTCCTTAAAAAGTCTGCCTTCACTTAAAATTTCCAAGGATTCAAGCTTTCTAACTGGAATAAATAAATAATCCTTTTTTTACAGATAGCTATAAATTAACCCAGCAGCCAGTGCAGCAGGAATGCCCGTTAATCTCTGCTAACTCACCAGAAACGTGGAGTTCCCAGCAGGGAGGAAGCTACATTTCTTCTTTAAGCCCTGTCATCCGAAGACATCTCCTCCAGCACCGTGGTAATACAAGGCTCCCTGTGCTGCTGCTCTGGGTATGCTACCAGCTGTGATTCACTCTGCTCCTGAGTCATGTGTGAAGGCCAGTTCAGCAGCTGAGGTACACTCCAGCCCCTGAAAAACACACCTCTTTAGTGGGACCATTTACAGCACAAGGTGAATGACCTTTTGCCAAAGCATGAGCTGTAGCAACTTCCAGTTTGTTTGCTCAGGTTATTGGCATAATCAGTATTAGAAGAGCACGCTGAGTAGAATGACACTCAGTAATAAGTTACTCTTCAGTGAAAATAAATGATAATGTTCACTCTGCTTGGCTCAGTCCTCTTTGCATACAGGAAGCATGTCCTGATAAAGCAGATATTATCCTTTTTTTTTTCTTTTTTTTTCCAGTGAATGGCCATTCTAAGGCTGTCAGAGCATCTTACCAGAGGAAAAAACATTGCATGCAAAGCTTGAAGCAGCAGTCAGAGATTTTGCCATCCCACTTTTACAGGTACAGGTAATGCCTGGCTAAGTCAATAGTCTGCTAAGAGGCTCTGCAGACTGATGTGCTGCTTTTTGTGACAGCCACGTTGGGAAAGGAGGATTCCTCGCCCCTGAAATGGGGAGGTGATTCATGGATGGAGCTGCAAAGCAAGAGAGATGCATCTCACCAATGGGCTTGGGACACACAGCTAGCTCTGGTTAGCTCCAGCTGAACTGCAGATGGCAGGTGTACTATCCACGTGTTTGTCCTGTTCTTGGTGGTTTTCAGCTTGAAATAAAGTGCTCAAGGCCATGTGTGACAGGGCTTGGAGCCATCTGGTCTGGTGGTAGTTGTCCCTGCCCACAGCAAGGGTATTGGAATGAGATGATCTTTATGGTCCCTTCCAACCCAGGCCATTCTATGATTTTATGATCTCTGGCACTGAAGCTTTGTTCAACGTTAATTGTTAATTGTGATTAATCCTTTGAATCCCATCTCACATCCAGAGTTTTCCTGGGCAGCCCCTGTGAAATACACCCAGCAGAACATGTGCTCCCCAAACAGAGATGTTTCACTGCTCAGCCCCAGCCTGGCAGCAATCAGATGGGAGCTCAGAAATGCATCCCCCAGGAAGCAAGAGCTGCTCCCTGCTGTTGGAAGCATGTCCAGGCAGGACATCCTACCACATGGTAAATCGTGCTGTCTTTCCTTCTCAATTCCAGCTGGAGCCTTTTAGAAGTGCCACCAGTGTGGGGAACACTCTTCTAGCATCTTTGGAGATTTTTGTTGCCGGGGTGCACAGGAATAGGACATAAGTGGTCTCACAATCAAACTTCTGGCATTGGGAAAGCTCAAAGAAGACACTTGGTCTCTGTAGAATAATCTCTGAGTAGAGGGATGGAGACACTGGCCATGGTGAAGAGGTGACTAACATAAGGATGGTGACTACAAAACCCCAGAAGGTTCCTTTTCATCCCAATTTTCTACATGGCTTGATGTATATATCTAGGGTCAGGATGCAGGTAGGTGGCTGAGATATGTTTAGGACTCAGCATGATGTACATGGAAATGAAACAGTTCCCCACTGGTTAGAGTTGGCTCTTGTGCCCAGTAATCCTCTCCTTTTCCAGAGAACCACAAACATGCTCAGGAGTGCTCCTCTCCAGCAAGGGCGTGCTTGATTCTGTGTCTCTCCTGACAACACTGGCACTGGTCAATGTGAGATATCTTTTTACTTCTTGGAGACACTTTCAGCATCTTTGGCCAGGAAGCAAAGTGGAGATAAGATCTGATTTATCTGATTTGTGTTCTGTTTCCTCCTCAGATTTGTCTTCACTACTCTTGGGAAGAATTTGTCTGACCTTGGTGTTTTAATTTTGCTTATCTTTTTTGATCTCTTCAGTGTCTTTGACCTGAAATGCCTGGTTACAGAATAACTAAACATTCAGGGTTGGAGATTTTTTTTCTTTCCATGTACAAAAGCAGAGTTCAAATACAGCATGAATGCCAGATTTTTTTTTTTTTTTTTTTTTGTGAAACAATCAGATAGTTGCAGTCATTCTGAAAAAATTTATATCAAAATAAATCTTCAGTTAAAATTCACGAACATTGCGTCGAAGGCATAATAATGAATAACAGCCATGATGTGTTTGAAATGTGCTGTCACAGCAGAGCCAAGGATGAATTACGTGGGAGCAAGTGTACTGGAAGGAATTTAAGTCCACTTCAAAAACTCACTGCAAATGAAACTTTAATCACTTTGTGCATATGTCTGGCAAAAGCTCAGCATGGAGTTACAGCATTTCCAGGAGCGTTAACTACAGCCAGAAGTGAGAATCCATCTCTGGGCTTAAGTCCTGGAGGAACAGCAGGTGAAACTCTACACACAGTGTCAATGACATGTTCAGTGCCTGGATCTGATACCTGGAAATTAACACTGAGCAGCAGCTGGATTCTGGGTTCAAACTCACAACTTCTGGGCAATCCAGACATACACGTACATCCCTGGCCTTTCTGAAGTGCTGGTGACAAATCCAGGGCTTCACCCAGGACCTCAGAGAACTGGTATTTGTGGTCACCACACAGGACATCTCCTTCCAGCCTTGCTTCCAGCAATCTCCCTCGCTGCCTCTGGAAACCATGAGTATTTTTCAGCATCTGAGATATCACAAGGTCAAATTTTTCACCATCTGAGATAAGGCCTGAAATTACACTCTGTGCTGAACAGCACTCCTCATGTTTGGGGCCTGACAGCCATGAGTGTCTGTAATCACTTAGTTATTGTGCAATGACGAATTGTTCCCTGTTTGTGATAAGTCAGACTGTTCACCTTCCCTTCTTTCCAAGCCACTTTCCAACATGAACCAAGCTGGGAGCTTTAATCTCTTCTCAAGCACAAGCCATTCCTTCATCCTTGCTGGCCTCTTGTTTATATTTTATTTTAACTATAACCTTTCATTTATGCACTAAGATGAGGTGACCAGAGTTGACGTGTACTGCCTTTGACGAAACTAAGTATTTTCATGGAACTTCCCAGTTAACAGAAAATTGTAAGGTTTTTTGAGCATTTGATTTTTCCATACTGATTAGGAAATTACCTCAGTATTTGGTAGCATATTCTCCTTTTCTCAGGGTACAGGAATGTAAGCACCCCAGTTAGGATGGCCTGACTTTTTTTTAAACTTGTAACAGCAATTTTTCATTATTTTCTCCTTATTACCACAGGAGACAATGGCATCTTCAATGTCTGAAAGAAGAAAACCCTAATGATGGGCAAACAGACATGAAAAAGGGAAGGAACACATACAGCACTGCTTAGTGCAGTACAAAATTTCACTTTTTAAATGGATCCTTCCCTCATGTATCTGACATAAAATTCTGCCATCAATTTTCCAAATAATTTACATATTTCCACAGGCATATAGGACATTTACAGATTCTCACACTCCATGCTGCAGAAATTCCTAGTGTGAAAGATTGTAGGACAGACTGTGATTTAGATGAGCAGGGAATTTGTGTATGTGATTTACATTAAAAGCTACACAAATAATCCATCTTCCCATGGGGGGAAAGAATGTACTTATCAGAATGATAAAATATTTTCATACTTACGTTATGGGAGGAGACAGTTCTTTAAGTGGTGATTCTGACCCCATAGTTTACAAGAAAACATTCTCTGAGTTACTGTCACTGTTAAAATGAAGCTGTCCGTGGAGTCAGAAACGGAACTTTGTTTTTCAAATGCTGTCAGAGCCAGATCAGTGGCTTTGGGGTCAACACCCCTTCCAGTCCCTGACGTTTTTCTGCATTATCTTTGCACTGAGGCAGCATGGACAATTCCTGGTCAGGGTTAAGGGGGCACGGGTGACACCACTCAGGATCATTGACACTGCAGATGGAGCTGTCAGGGCAGCCTTGATGGCTTCCACCACCCCACACCAAGATCAGGGAATTGTTAGGGTTGGAAGGGACCTCTGGAGATCACCCAGTCCAACCTCCTTCCGAGGGAGGGTCATGCGGAGCATGGACACAGTGGTTTGGAACTCCACACTCTCCCTGGGCAGCTGTCCCAGTGCTCTGCCACCCTCAACATAAAGATCTTCCTCATGTTGAGATGGAATTTCTCATGTTTTAATTAATGGACAGTATAATTTATTGCTCCTCATCCTGCTGCTGAGCACCACCCAAAAGACCCTTGCACTAGCATGTTAGCACCCTAGGATATTTTTATGCATTAACGAGATCCCCTGTCAGTCTTCTCCAGGCTAATGTGAGGGCAGTTTGCTCTTAGAGAGCGTCCAAAGGAGGCCAGGAGGATGGGGAAGGGTGTGGAAGGGAAGCTGTATGAGGAGTGGATGAGGACACTTGTTTTGTCCAGCCTGGAAGAGACTGAGAGACCTCATTGTGGTCTGCAACATCCCCCCGAGGGGCAGACACTGCTCTCTTCACTCTCATGACCAGCGACAGGACCCGAGGGAACGACATAAAGATGAGTCAGGGGAGATTTAGGCTGGATGTCAGGAAAAGGTTTTCAGAGGTTGGTCGGGCACTGGAAGGG